CTTCCTTAGCCCCCGTTTGTTTACCATTATTTCAAAAAATTGTTTGCTATAGTAAAATTTTCAGTCACACATTCACCCAATAAAATATTTTACACACAAATCAATAAAATTACTTTACTTTTCAACCATACATTCTCCAAAAAATATTATTCAAAACTCTATTTCTTTTCTCCCAAAATGGGAGACAATCAAGCACTTAATTTGGAAAACATTTTTTAGAAAAGAAAATGTTTTTTTTCTTTTAAGGAAAATAAAAATCTACCTCTCCCAAGAAAATGTTTTCCTAAAAAATAAGGAAAATTAGGTATATTTTCAAAGGTTGAGAAATTTTTCATGGAAAAAAAGGTACTCAAATGCTTCAAAAGTTGGAGTTTTGACCGGAAAATGCCATTTTTAATGGAAAATTTTCTAATCAAATACACCCCAAGATATTAATATCTTCACTTCTTTTGTCGCGTGAGAGGCACATGACAACTAACAAATTTTTTTAGACAGGCGTCATCACCACAAGTGTCAAAATAAACCTTAAGAGACATAACCTGAAGAAATAAAAGTTGAGAGATAAAAATGTAAAAAGTACAGGAGTTTGGGAGAAGGCTGCAATTTTTCTTAATATGTTAAAGTCCAATTTACGCTTCCCAGTACCTAGCTTCTCATCTTAATCTAATTTCGCCCAATTCGTAACCCTAATTCCGACAGAGAGAGACGCATTGACTACTTGCACACAATGCTTGGCGGCTTGTACGGAGATCTACCGCCACCATCCTCCACCACGGATGACAGCTCCACGACTACATCGACCACCAATGTATGGTCGAGCAGCGTCAAGATGGCTCCACCCACCCTACGGAAACCCTTTCCCCCACCCCAGACCATTCTCAGGACCCAACAGCCGAAGACCAAGCCGAATTCTACCATTTCCAAGGGGCCAACAACTCACTCCACTTTCACCATCTCCGACGAGTACACCAACCCCAATCCTGCCACGGCTTCGTTTCAGCCAGCTCTAGTCGGCGTCACCAGCACCGTAATCGAAGAATACGACCCGGCCCGGCCCAATGATTATGAAGATTATTGCCGGGAGCGCAAACGGAAGCAAGCGGAGGCAGAGATGAAGAGAGAATTAGAGGAAAGAGAGAGGAGAGAGAGGGAAAGGGAAATGGAAGAGAGAGAAAGGAGGGATCGAGAGCGTGACAGGGATCGGGAATTGAATATATCTGGCGAGGAGGCATGGCGGAGGAGGGCGGCACTGAGCGGTGGCGGTGGTGGTGGCAATGAAGTGCCTAGATCGCCGTCACCACCATCAACAAATGTGACCGCGGAAGGGTTTAGCATTGTTAAGTCAGAGAGTGGGGGTTTAGGTGTTGGGGCGGAGGGGAGGATGACGGCAGCACAGAGGATGATGGCAAAGATGGGTTGGAAGGAAGGTCAGGGATTGGGGAAACAGGAGCAGGGGATCACCACTCCTTTGATGGCCAAGAAGACTGATAAGAGAGGCGGGGTTATTGTGAACGCCAGTGATTCCAACAAGAAGGTTAAGAGTGTCAATTTCAATGGGACTCCCACCCGCGTTGTGCTGCTCAGAAACATGGTATGTACTATGTATTAATAGATATTGATTACTGGGTGCTTAATTTGTTAGATATTATGCTATCGGACTTAAAGATCTGGACTTTGTGTTGAAGTACTTTGGTGGTTTTTGGGAATCTTATGATTTTCAAATCTTAACTGCAATAATAAGGTGTATTGGTCTGTTTGGCAAATGTACAAATTATTGCTCTCGACTTTAAACTATGATTTATTAGACATTATGTACAATGGCTATCACAAAATTAAATCTAAGGAGGAAGGCAGAATGAGCTATTGAAGAGTGGGAATAAGCAAAGCAGAGGATGAGAGAAAGTGAATGCTCTTCTCATTGAAAGAATGTGTCTACATTTATAATATATATAACAAAATATATATAACAAAATGAAATTTGTAACGAACTATACAAGTTGCCTAACAGAATAGGAAAGAGAGAGATTCTATATATTCTTCAAAATTCTTCAGCCGACATCTACAGCATATTCCTTATGCAACTTGCTGCATCTGTCATCTTCTAGAATATCTCAACTTTATTGGCAGGTTTGATGCCGAATGTTTTGTTGATACTGAGGTTTATCCATGATCCATCTCGCAATTGCATTTCCCTTCTTTCTTCAACATCCCTGCAAGATGGAGTGTAGATATCTTTTGCTCCCATCTTGGCCAAATGAGAATAAAAGATAGGTGAGCTCAATGTCTTAGTTAGAATGTCAGCAACTTGTGCATTCGTCTTCACATGTTCTGTTACTACACTTCCCTTTTGAACCTTATCTCAAATTAAATGACAATCATGCTCTATATGTTTAATTCTCTCATGAAAAACAGAATTTGCAGCAATATGAATTGTGGATTTATTATCACAGTATAGGAGAGCTTCTTGTTGATGGCATACTATCAGATCTTTGAGTAGGAACCGTAACAATGACAGTTCACAACAAGTACTTGCCATGACCCTATACTCTGCCTCTGCGAAGGACCTAGAAATTGTATCTTGCTTCTTTGATTTTCAGGAAATTAAAGAAGATCCTAGGAAAATACAATAGCCTGTGATAGACCTTCGTGTGCCTGGACATGAACTCCAAACAGAGTCGCTGTAGGCTTGAAGCTGTAGCATTGATGAAGTTGAATACAACAGCCTTGACCTGGGCTTCTCTTGATGTAACAAAGTACTTTATGTGCTGCATTAAGGTGTGGGATTCTGGGTTTATCCATGTATTGACTTGAGAGTTGGATAGCGTAGGATATGTTAGGCCTAGTTACAGTGAGATAGAGAAGCCTCCGAGTAAATCTTCTGTATATAGATGGATCATCAAGCAATTCACATTGATCCTTAGATAGCTTGACAGTTTTGGTACAATGCTGGTCACCAGCTTCTTAGATACTACCAATTATTATACTTGGGCAAGGTCCATGAAAAGGGCCCTCAGAATCAAAAATAAACTTGGGATTATCAGTGGGAGCTTAGTAGAACCAGCAGATGCCAACAGTTTTCTGATGGAGCACTGGCTTAGCTGCAATGATCTTGTGATCGCATGACTACATAACATCATGTCTATTGAAGTAAAGTATCGCACTCTCTATGCACATATTGCTAGAGAACTCTAGTTGGAACTTCAACATTAACTAGCTCAGCAGAATGTCCCACGAGTGTTGAAGAATGAAAGGAAATGGAATTTGCCAGATGGATAAATCATGTCAGCAG